AGCTTCATAGGTCCATATCTATGGTCACTTCAGGAAGACATAATCTACAGTAACCTGCAGCTAGAATAACTGACTCTTTCATGTAGCAGCTTCATTATTAATCATCATAGTCAGCTAGGACTCATTAAACAGCTAAATCACCTAGCTATAAATACTCTATATTGATAGAAGTCTTTTAGGTGCTGAATTTTCTCCTTTTGAACACAAGAATGGCAGAGTAACTCTTTATTGAGTAGTTCAGAGCCTTTTTCAACTGGATTTTTCCCCAAAATGCTGAAATAGAAGTCATAACAGGCTTAAACTCAAGAGCAAGGCACATGGGTGTGGTCAAAGCCACACCTACTTTTTGACCACTCCCACTTTTAGCCACACCTTTGCCCTACTTGCAGTAAAATCCTGCAGCCGCCTATGATTCTTGGCACTCTTAGCTTGCTTGCTAATTAACTGATTAATAATAAACTAGGAATTCACTTTTCCTAACTAACTAAAAAATGGTGGAGGCCTGGAGGGTTCGAGCTATTGCGAGTAACCATATCATAATAATCATTATTTCTTGAATGGAATAATTACTTGACACAATGATCAAAGTTTGTTAAATTTATTTTCAAGTGTAGAAGTAAAAACTAATGGCACTGATGCTTGGCCTATTCACTAAGGAAGAGTACTTCTTTGCATTTACAAGAATAAAACATTTAACTCGTGAGCAAATAGATGAAGTAAAGATGCCAGAAGAGGGACAAGAAAACACTCACAAATCCAGGAAAAAATCCCCAAATATTCAAAAATTCTTGATGAAGTGTCATTGTTGAGTTCTTCCATGCATTTAAGAACTTTTGAGACACAATGGTCCCTAAACACAGTTAGACCAAAAGTGACATGAATATATGGTCCAAATGGTTCACTTAAATAAATAAGGGCAGATCCGTAAAACAATCCAGCTCCAGAGTGAACAATTAATTGGACACTTTGTCATCAAACATAAGATGGAGAGCCAAACTCAATTCCAAGTAAGTTTGATAGAAAAAACCACCATCATCACTCAGGGGTAGTGCTGGCGCCAGTCTCTCCAATGCTTTAAGACTAATAATGCAGAGCAAAAATAACAAAAAAGTGTGTCAGAATATGTAACAATACAGTGTAGCTTCTAAATAAGAACACCTTTATAATGACGACATCTTTATAATGAGGGCATATTTTATGCCCAATTGGTACAGGCTTATGCAAAAATACCTCTGAAATGAGGATACCTCTGTATTAAGGACAGGTAGTGTGAATAATCCAAATGGCCAGAAGCCAAGGGGGCCTGTGCTGGGTCAATTATGATAAATAATTCCGTCAAAAATTGCAGCAGGGATGGCTCTGCAGTCTGCAGTGGTCAGTCCCTAATGGCAAAATGATGAAAATGGAGGACAGGTATCGTCAAACTAGCTGCAAGCAATTATGTTTTCAAGCAGATAGATACATGTATTTGTATATATTTATAGAGAAGAAATATACCCTCAAGTGTCTTTTCAACCCACCTGACCCAGAGGCTATGCGACTGTGTAACGGTGTCACTCTGTTTTGATGTTGCTTTAAGCAGTTTGTGATTGAAGTACAGTCAAACCTCTCTAAAACGAACCCCCAATTAGCAGACACTTCTCTATAACGTACAGTTGCTCTTGTCCCGGCCATAAGGCCATTGGGTAGTGTATAAAAGAACCTCTGTATAGTGGAACCACTCTATTCTGTATAACGGATGAGATTCATTGTTCCCACACATCTACACATGTACAAATTAACCTCCAACGGACAGACAGGGCCCACGCAATGGACTTTCTAATTAACACGCATAAAAATGGTGAATTTTCTGGTCCGATTAGCATGGGATAACCTCTGATTTAAGGACACCTCCGTATAAAGGACAGTGATGGCTGGCCCATAGGTGTCCGTCTTAGAGAGGTTTGACTGTGTAATGAAAGACTTCCAATGGCCCAATGCTCTTTAACGTGCTTGTAGCTATACAATATAATTTGTTGTTGGTATTCATTCAAATTTAGAATCAAGAATACTTGAGAGAAAGCTGCTGGCACTTGGCTTGAGTAAGGGATACTCCTTTACCAGCTGAAGGTCTTCTGGTACCTCCAGTTAGATATTTTCATACATTCTCCAGTCCAGATACAATAGCAGTGGCTCCTTCAGGCGTCTGAGACCCACAGTCAGCACAAGGTGAGGTTTAGATCTGAGGAGTCCACCACAAAAGGATAATCTGATACATTATTTTAAAAATCTGAAAAATTCCAGTAAAAGAATATTGTAATCCAATAAAAATCCAATCTTGGTTTCAGAGACCAGGTACAAGGCACAGTTAGCAGCAGGAAGAGAGGAGACTTCTGGCTCAACAACTTGATCCAGATAAAGGATTGGGGGACCAACTGGAGGACTAGGATCATAGCAAAAATCCAATAATCCACAGAAATCCAACACTAATCCAGAAAATCTAAGCAATAATCAAGAAACAGCTGTTACGTAATCTATGCATGTACACAGCCAAGAATAAAGACTTCAACTTTACATGTAAGAAAAATTTTACTTTCGGCAACTTCCTTTTGTGCTATGATAACAAAAGTGCAATACATGTCTTCAATCAATCACCTTGTGCATGGTTTGAAGTGCTACTGAAGGCTGTAAATACAATTATGACATACAAGCCACTTGTTGTTGAAGGACTAAGATGAACAGGTATGCTTGTGTTTACCGAAAAATC